GCGGTCTCACGAGTGCCGAGTACAGGGGCATCTACTCTCAAGCAATTCCCTGTCCTTCTTGAACTGAGGGGCCCATAACTGGACACAATATTCCAGATGTGGTCTCACCAGGGCAGAGTAGAAGAGAAGGAGGACCTCTCTTGATCTACTAAGCACCCCCCTTCTAATACACCCCAGGATGAGTCAAACAAAGACATCTTCCTCTCCAATGCAGCAAGCTGTTCATGTCACATGTGTAACCTGACATTGGTTAAGTTGGATGTGCTTTCCAACAGAAGAATTTAGGATATACATGGGATAGGCTGTTTTTACACTTTACTAGCCTGACTCTGGACTGCTTCATGGTGCTGAGTATGATTGCAGGTAGCTGAGCTGGTTGCAGGGTTGGCATTTTCCCTTCCCTCAATGCCCCAAATTTTTAGTAGGTTGTTTTATGCCTATGCAATGACTGCTAAGCTTCCTGTAAAGGGTTTGACGTTTTTCAGATGACTTAGAGGATTTTTGGCAAGGTGGAAACATGCAGTCGGAGACCAAGTAGCCACAACTCCTGATGCCTTTCACTGAGGGGATGGCATCTCAGTGATGCCAAATTCTAAATGTGTCTCCCAGTGTATATGTCTGATACAGTACAGTGGAGGCTCAGCCTGTTTCAGCAGCAGTTAAAACATTTGTTATGGACCACAAAAAAACAATCCTTTGCATGCTTTTTTTTTTTTTTCCCATTCTTCTGTTTCTTTGTGTGCATGTTAATTAACTGTAGTTCTGCCCTGTGCAACCTCCTTTTAAGAGATATGGTTACACATTCGTTGAAAAATCCCCTTAGGCTTTATGCTGAATGATACTAGATTTCCTACAGCACTGTGTTTTTCCTGAGGTAAGCTTTAGGTGCTGTTAACTATAGGCAAAACAGTACATATGCCTGGCAAAAAAAAAAATAATCTTACTTCCTAGGAAAGCAACTCAAAATGCTTCATGGAGAGAGGAGGATGGAAGTGGTGTTGTTTCTTGTGGAGTTTTTTCATTTGTTTTTAAAAAAAAATACATACATCCTTTGTTGTTGAATGGGCCTCACTGGTCTTAGCTATTGTGACGAGTTTGTTGTACATCTGAAAGATGCCTAAGCACTGCTTCTCATTTTCAAAAATGAGAAAAATGTGGCTTTCTGACAATTCAGACTTCTCCTGCTGCCACTGTATTCTCCCTGTGATTTGTTGTATTTTGATTTTTTTGTAGCTGTGCGCAAACAGTAATTTTTTGCCAGTCAAAATTTGGCATGAGGTGTTAGAAAGAAAAAAAAAAAAAGATTTATTTGTGGATGTTGGAAGCATGTGTGAAGACTGCTATTTAAAAAGACGACTGGCACAAATGGCGAAATTATGTCTGAACGCTGTTTCCGACCACCTCCTCATGTCCTGATCCTTCTGGCATATTGTCTCAATTTCCATCAGAGCTTCCTCTGCCCACCTCCAGAGATCCCCACGTTGACGTGCCCCTTGTAGACTGTGCATCACATTCATTAAGGCCTTGCTAGAACATGCTTTTTCAGCTCAGCTGCCTTCTGCTTTCAGTCTCTGTCTGTAAACTTCCCTGTAAATTTCACACTTTTATCAGACTGCCTTTTCTGAATTTATCTGGCCAAACAAACCCTGTTTCCTAAGGCTTAACATTTTTTCTTTGTGCGACTAGTCATATTATCATTGTTGGCTTAATAATGCCAGGTGCTTCCTGAGCTGGATGAGAGTAGGACTGGTTACCTGAGTTCCCCTAAACCTCTTTCCCACCCTCTCTGACTCCCTTTTCCCAATTTCAAGTATTTCTCCAGCTTTTTCTTGCTTTGGGATAACTGCCTGCATAAGCTGCCTCCTCCAAGCTCAAAAGGCACAATATCCAGTCACAGAAGTATGTACAATAACTTTTAATAGACAAATGTAAGGCAGAAAGTTGCAGTCAATTATAGATAAGTACAGAAATATGGATTATAAAATGGGCTTTAGGTTCAGTGCTCCTCAGAGTAGGACAAGATTCTTTTAAGATTCATAAACACCTGCTGTGAGGTGAGTATTTGTTTAAAGCTTCCACTGGAATTGTTCCATGTATAATTAAAATGAAATTTTACAGTGGCTCGATCGTTACTGTTCTGTTTGTTCTTACCATAAACCCCATGGAAATAGGGTTTAAAAAAAAGCCTTCTGCGTGTGTGAAAATAACATGTTGTAATTGTCGTCTGTGTTATCAGATCTCCGAGTTGCACGGGAGTGGTGAGGCCATGCATGAAGTGGTGGAGTTAGTCAAGTGGCTCATTTCTATTGGGGCGAAGGTTGAGACCATTGGAGCACACCTGCTTCACGCTGTTATCAGACTCTGTATCAGAGCAAGTGAGTGACCTCCTCAGCTGAGATAAAGCAATGATGGCCTTCATGAGAGAACTAATGGCTGGAGCTATTTAAAATAAAATTTAAAATGTAAAAAATAAAC